AAAGAGCAATGGACCAAGAACCGAGCCTTGGGGGACCCCATTGGGAGCGGAATACCACGCAGAGAGCGATTTGCCAACACGGACGCAGAATTTCCGATCGATGAGGAAGTCTCGCAGCCAATTCCGCATTACCACACCTACACCTAGGTTGGACAGCTTTCGCAAAAGGTCATGCGGCACCTTAACAAAGGCCTTGCTGAAGTCCACGAAGATGATGTCCGTTCCGTGTCCTTTGGCCTTGTCCTCGGTCCAGCATTCACGCGCAAGTAGCAGGTTTGAGAGGCATGAGCGACCCGGCCGGAAACCGTGTTGTTGGTGGCACAGGTGACCGTGGCACACCAAATGCTGCCGAAGCCGTGCAGCCACCAGTCGATCCATTACTTTACTCGCAACGCTAGTAAGGCTGACTGGTCGGTAGTTCCCAGGGTCACTCCTATCCCTAACTTTGGGCAGCGGAACAATGACAGCGTCCTTCCACTGCTGCGGTAAACGCCCTTGAGTGAATGACAAATTGAACAGGTTGCACAGTGGCACTGCAAGTTCATCTGTCAGCTCCTTCAGGATCAGCGGATGCACACCATTAGGTCCAGGTGACTGGTGAACCTTTGGTCGACGCAGCTCCAGGGCCACTTCTCCGATGGTAAATGGGGCCCATTTCAGCGCAGTGTCAGTGTCCAGTAGATGTGCCAGTGTGCTGGATACTGGGGTGTACACTGAGGCATAATGTGATGCCAGCATCTCCGCTTTTTCTTCATTTTTTTCGGTTAGTGCCCCATCTTTGGCGAGAGTCGGGAAACCATGTTGAGTAAAATGAATCAATCATCACAGTTATTATGGAAAACATAACGAGAACAAACGGTTTGCTGACTTGATTCGAAGGGCACGTCTTCAGTGCATGAAAAGTGTATTATTGAATTAGAAAAATGCTTTGAACAACATATTTTACAACTAAGGTTCTTATATATTTTCAATTTTATAACCATGGTACTTTTTTCGGATGTCTTATACCGATCCGTCTTCGTTTGTGCTGTTTCTCTGCGAGTTTTCTGTGTCAAACAACCTCATTGAGGGAGATCATCCCAGTGATTTCATATATTGTGGTACCCAGTATCGAGAAATAGTCAATCTATGCCGTTTATTCACTATTCTGATCCATTTCCTTCTATGGTCGTCACAGTAAGATTCTCCTTTCACACACAGGTTGATGAACAATTGGAAAAATACAAGCTTCTGTACGATATTGTGCTAGTCAACGAGGATACATTCCAAATCCCGCTCACTGTGATCCGTTCAATGTTGCGGTACTGGAAATCAGACACAGAGAACGGCCAAATCCAATCGAGCGATGGGGATTGCCAATAGCACATGACTAATAACACGTCAGCGAACTGGAAACAGATCATCTGTTATACGACTTCACCCATTCACCCTTCCCAAACTTGTTTCCACCATTCTCTATTTTTACTCAGAACCCTTCTACACTCTCTTTTCCTCTTCCTCATCTTGTCAACTGAAACAAATTTTCAATCCACTGATTTGTTTGAAAACGGACAGGAAAGAACACGTTTAGTCAGTTCTAATTGAGTGTTTTCCGTTTTTGCCTGATTTTAGGTCTTTCAAATGATGTGAGTTGATAGTCTGTTTAACGTGTGCCAATAAAATGATACTGGAAACCACCGTGATTGTTCTGTCTTTTTGTTCTACCAGTTAGCGAGCTTGAAAAATTCCTGTTTGGAATCCACGTGAACCCATCAGATAGCAAGCGCAAAACGCATTCTGGTTGATAAGTGACGTTCTGTCCTTCCGATATACCGCTGACCGCAAGTACATTGAAATGAATAGATGCAGTTGGAGGTACCACTAACGTCTTTTCGATCCAGATTAGTGCGTGTGAGACAACGAAACGTCCCGTAGACAATCATTCGTCTTGCGGCATTGTACGTCCTTTCGACTGCGTGCGTTAAACGTCGAGACATCCTTGTTGTCACATCATCTCCCTTGAAAGGTAGTTCCATATAGACATCTCTTCTTAGCCGATAGAGAAATAGGCTTGGCGTTGATCGGTTTGCTCTACTTGTGGATGAATGCGATGGGATAACCATTGTCTATCAAAGTATGGGTCCGTCGGTCCAGTTCGTCTGGCAGGACGTGCGGACTGCATAGTCGGCGAACCCTGTGAAACAGAGTGCGTACCAGACCACGCTTGTATCCCACAGGGCAGAAACTCCTGGAGTATAAATACTGTCTTGTCAATGTAGGCTTTCGATACATAGATATCTGTAGCTTACCGTCTGACATTCGATTGGGTAGTAAGTCAAGGGATGGAAGTTTCGATTCCGATTCACATTCTAATGTCAGTTTGATGTTGGGATGCATTGAGTTCAACTTGTGAAATAATGCCAATGCGCGCAATGACTAGTGTATCGTCAACATACCGCCGATATAGTAGGGTCGAATTCAAATCACCTTCCAGTTTGCTTTCTAGTGTTGACAGGATATCAGCAAGAATTAGCCCCAAATGGCTACCCATAGTTACACCATCAACCTGTTTATAGATATTTCCATTGAAAACAAACNTATAGATATTTCCATTGAAAACAAACTGTACATCGCGGACGCATCAATCCAGTAGGGTTTCCAAATCACTGGCGAGGAAACCTATTTCACTGGTATGCTTACATAATTCGTTCACAGCTTTCTCGACCGGACATTTGTGAACAATGAAGTAATATCGTAAGAGACGAGAAGACAACTATGGTAATCTACGTCTGGTATTGCTTCCTTTAATTGAAATGTATCCTTCAGTCCGAACTTGCACAGTTTGGTACTAATTGAAGCAATCAGCTTCTCCAACCATTGCGCAAGTTTGTGTTGGGGAGAGTTAACCATCGATAGGGTTGTTCATAATGAGATCCCCGGTTTGTGCAATTTCGGCAGTCCGTACATTCTTGCGATATGTGAACCCCGAGGTCTCAGTTTAACGAACGTGTTTGTATCGATCACACCTTTCTTCCAGAATCGTTTTAACCTAGCATAGACTGTTTTTTCCAAAGTTTCAGTTTTGTCTTTGCTTTTGGATCAAGTTGAAAACGAGTGTGATCCATAAGTATTCCCTCCATCTTTTCGACATAATCCTCCTTATTGAGACTGAAGACTCCAGAACCTTTATCTGGCTTCATAAGCAGATTACCTTGATCCGTTTCAGTTCTTTTATCGTGTTAATGTGATCTTTTGACAGTAGGTTATGATGGCACGTTTGGGAAACACGGAACTGATGAGCCAAGTCTACAAGTCTAGCTTTTAACCAACTTCCTGACTCAGTTGTGCATGGTGTTAATCCTTTTAACTGGTCTGCAAGGTTCTCAAACTCTGCATCTATTTCGAAACTCTGAGGCTTCTTATCGGGTACACAAATTGAAACCCAGTGATAAAGCTTCCAGTTGCAGTCTATTCAATGCAAATCGCGGTAAATTATGGGCGTACCTGCTGGGTTCTTTGGAAACTCGTCTGTGGTAACGGCCTCTGATAACGATTTTGACAGATCCTTGAGCAACCAAACACAAATCACTCGACTCACTTGTCAAACACTTTGTTCAAATGAATCATTTCAACTCTTATGCTTCTTCGTTTTACGTGATCATATAAATGTGCGTTTAGAGCTGAATGAGAGCACGCGAAATTGATGGCCAATATCAATTCCACCCACATATGTCTTTTGTTGTGGATGAAATGGATAAAGGGAAAAGAATGTTTTACATGAATGAGAGCAACCAGACTTCGACCGCTTTCTGCGTGTCATGTGTGTTAACTGCACTGAACAATGAAAAACAAATGCCATGATTGACGGTAACACTGTGCTGACCGTGTGCGTGAACCACCACCACCACCATTGTTGTGCCGTTGATGGCATTCTCCAGTAGTCTCTTACATAGTGGTCTAGCTCGCTTTGCGAAGAATATATCTCTCAGGTCCTGTCTGGGATGCTCCCTTTGTAGCCTAAGGCTATAAACCAAGTGTTAAACTCCGGAGCAGGGAAGAAGTCTGCTGTTACCTAAACTGGACGACCATAAAATTTCAATTAAGGTTACCCCTACTTCTTGGTCGTGACAGCTTGTAAAGATGTATGTCCTTCAGACACTATGAGTAGTTCTCCGCCCGACAACCATTATATTCACCAATTGTTGTACCGTCTCTAGGTACTCTATGTCTTTGCGGAAGTATGGTGTCCATGCCTACACACAGTACTCTAATATTGGACGTACCAATCTCTTTAATAAGGAACAACTCTGGGTTCCGGCCTTTGTGGCGGTCACCTGGCATTGCATAATAGGTTGAAAGTCTTTGGTGACAATTATACCTGTCTTTATCCTCAAACACTCCTGTCAGTTCTACATTTACCGTCAGTAGCAGGTATTTGACAAGATTGAGGGGTAGGTCCGATCGTGCCGACTTGATCTGGGTACTGGGTTAGTTGGTTGCCCGCTAGTTTCAGGTAAACCGAAAACATGAAGCACAGATAATAAAGTTCTGGAGGAAGTTCGTTCATGGAAAGAAGGAAAACAGGGGCCAAGGAACCGAGCCTTGTGGTATTCCACTTTGAATACACACTTCTGACGCCAAACGGTGTGCCAAACAAATCATGGTACAATAATCTTTATAAAATGAAAAGCGTGCCATGATTTCCATGTGGGCTGAACTCTGCCAGGTTACGCGGATCGAGGCAGGTGAATTTTCTTAAGGAATCCACAATCTGAGTCTTCGGTTAGCCAACGCCTGACTCGCAAGGCAGCGGGACGGTGTGTGAAAACCGCAATCTATTGGGGGCCGGTGTCCAGTTCATCGGATCATATGCCCCTTGGACGGGATCAAACGTCCAAGGTACCCAATACACCTTGATGCCTAATCGAGCCGGTGACCACTGCCATGTCAGGGAGGTGTGTGGTTCGTACCCCTCTTCTTGGTTTGGAATCAGGATTTTTGGCCCCTGGGTGAACTGTTAGTGGTCCACCAACCCGGTTATAGCCCCGGATGTCGACTTTTTATCCTCTCATTTTGGTGGGAAAACACAACCACGAGAAGGCAGTGGGCAGGGCGTCCTCAGTAGAGGCTATCTGAGACGCTTGGTCGTATGGGGGCATTTCGCGAGGTGAAAGAGAAGGGTGACCAGCCGCAACCCTAGACACCCACCCCCGACCATACTGTGGATTCGGAGGTACCCACTTGTAAACTTCTCCAATATTGATGTACGGTTGCCAGCACGCACACTGAATCCACGGTTGCTAAGAGACGGCTTTACTCAGTTTTGAGCTGTCCCAACCATTCTAAGTATTATCAATTTCCGTTCCGGCAGCATAAGGTTCACCAAGTCGAATACCTTGCTATTGTTTAAGTTACATACCCTCCCTGATCCGGTCTCGTCTATAAGTCGAATGGTTTCGTCCTATGCATAAGATTAATTTATTACGCTTTATCTCTAACAAACCCATTCTATGTGGAAATCAAGAGTTTGTTAGTTCCCCAGGACACGCGAATTCACTTCCTGGCTATACATTCCGAAAACGTTACATAACCGTCTTTTATTTAGACCGTGCCTTATGCATTGTATCGACCTCGGCAACATGGCATTCCGTTTGAATATGAGTCGTGTTCATGTCTTGAGTGGTACACATTCTGACCGCAGAAAATTAAAGCCAGCATTCCAGTCGATACTTTGGAATCAGTACCTTGAAACAATGTCCAGTAAGGTCTACGTTGGGCGACAATGTAAGCAGTGGACGACAGGCATGGTTTGTGTTGTCCACTACTGGTTACACTGAAATCAAATCCCATAGAATGCTGCGATACTGACTAGAGTATATGTAGTACCAATGATCGTAATATCTCCTTGTAGTTGAGCTAATGCAATCTATGGTGATCCTAGCCTGCGGCATAACTCCAGCCACGGAGCGACGCGGTACAGTTTCTGGACAGTTGTGGTGAGTCAACCCTCCCAGATGACACCAGTCAAGCGCCTATGCGTTAAAGTTTCTGGATAAAGAACCACAGGTCAATCGTGCCAACCAATCAAAAGTTGAGCAATCCGAACAGAAGCTGTATGACGTCAAGAATACAAGCAGGTCACTGATGGATAACCGTATAACCCATGTACTTCCTTCGTGCATGTTATTTATTCCGGTTTATTTCTTTCGATAAAACAACTCCTAATTCTATGGCATTTTTCTTCCGCCTCAGTCACGGTAAATAACCGCATGCATCCGCTGGAGCAATAATTCGAAAGGTGCCTAGTGGAGAAAAGTTGGTCCGTACGAATAGTCATCAGGGTTTCACTACTTCGTCATTCATACAAAAAAATCTCAGTTGGA